CCTCCGCTGTCATTTGGGGGAGGCATGGCAGGAGAGAGCGAGCCCCTGGCTGAAGTCACGCCAAGGACAGGGCCAAGGTCAGGGCCCCGAGGCAGGTCTTGCAGCCACATGACTCTAACCAGTTCACTCTGGCCACACCATTCATTTACTGATCCCCTAACCGGGGAAGCCCTTAGCAGCACTGAGTGAGAACTGGGGACCTCTGAAATCCTAGATTCTATAGTTCTGACAGGCCACGAGTCCCCAGACATTTGCATCAATAAAATTATAACACTTTTTTAGACCCAAGTTGCCACCTTCTTATTTTGCCAGTGAGTAACCATCAAAAAAAACTACAACCTATTACCACCTTTACTTCAAAAAAAGTGTTTTAACACCAAAAACAAATATAAAAGACCTAATTTCAGAGCAAAGAACAATCCATGCCGGAAAGGGGCAGTGAGCAAGTCAGCCCCCAACAAACATAAGTAAATCAACCAATCAGCAAATGGAGGCACACACACTCCAGCGTGTTCTCCCAAACGCCGCAAGGGCCTCCTCAGGGCTCCCGGAGTGACAGGAAGCCCCTGGTTCCTCCGGGCCAGGATGTCACCGCAAAACAGCTCCAGGAACACAGGCAGGGTCGACGGCAAGGAGGAAAGCAAGCAGAGAAGTCAGAGACTTTCTGACGCAGCTGTCCATGCAGAGAGGCAGGGGCCCGGGCAAGGCTGCAGACACCACACCCCCTCCCCCTGTGGACCCAGTGATCCCTGCCCCACTGGCACGGACCCAACAACTCTCTGGAACCTGAAGTCCTTCAGGAGACCCGACCCCTTTACAATGTGTCTGCAGTGGGCATTGCCAAGAACTTGGAATAAAGTGAAATAAGACTATAATCAGAATAAAACTGTAAAAGTCACCCCATGGTAGACTGAAACCAATATCTGCAAATGCCCCCCGTAGTCTGAGACCACCACACACCCGATCCTTCACCACTGCCTGACTTTCCCGCGAGGCTGACCACGAACCTGGGTTTACCTCGCAGCCTTCCCAGGCGCTACACTTCCAGGACACCAGCAGTTTTCTGGACGATTCTGGTGGTCACGGTCCCAGACACTCTGGGCTTTCACCTCGATGAAATGAATAAACTGGCTCCCCAGCCTATCATCAGTGTCTGAGAGCTCACTGGTGTGAGCACTGCTGAGCACCAGACCCACGCTCGGGGTGCTGCTCAATCAGGCGGGAGGCCAGGACAGCGCAGGGCCGGACCACGGCCTCCAGCTATCGTCCCTAAACTGTGAATGCTCACGCCAGAGATTTGGGAGACAGCCAGCTGGCCTCCAGACTGCGGAAACACTGACTTGCCTCAACTCTACAGAACCTGAACAGGCCTCACCCAAGGGCGGGCGTCCTGACCTAGAGACCCCATCCCGACACTCGGCACCCCCTGAACCCTGTGGAGCTGGAACAGGCCCACCTGAGGGCGGGCTTCTGACCTAGAGACCCCATCCCGACACTCGGCACCCCCTGAACCCTGTGGAGCTGGAACAGGCCCACCTGAGGGCGGGGTCCTGACCTAGAGACCCCATCCCGACACTCGGCACCCCCTGAACCCTGCGGAGCTGGAACAGGCCCACCTGAGGGCGGGCGTCCTCACCTAGAGACCCCATCCCGACACTCGGCACCCCCTGAACCCTGCGGAGCTGGAACAGGCCCACCTGAGGGCGGGGTCCTGACCTAGAGACCCCATCCCGACAGTCGGCACCCCCTGAACCCTGCAGAGCTGGAACAGGCCCACCTGAGGGCGGGCTTCTGACCTAGAGACCCCATCCCGACACTCGGCACCCCCTGAACCCTGCGGAGCTGTAACAGGGCCACCTGAGGGCGGGCGTCCTCACCTAGAGACCCCATCCCGACACTCGGCACCCCCTGAACCCTGCGGAGCTGTAACAGGCCCACCTGAGGGCGGGCGTCCTCACCTAGAGACCCCATCCCGACACTGGCGCTCACCTGCATGCTCTGCTGGTACTGCATCTGCAGAGAACCTTGGGCAGAGGTGGAAACATCCAGTCCGGATCCTCCCTCCACACGTTGAGAAATGAAGTTGTTCAGAGACCTCAGGGTGGACAGGACGGTGGTGTTTTCCCCCAGGTCCTCCATGGCCACTTCCTTCTGGAGGAAGACAAACGGGGGTGACAGTGAACCCTTCTGTGACCATCAGCCCCAACAGCCGCCCGGTCAGGGGGAGCCTTTGGGCAGCCCCACTGCCCTACCGCTCTCTCAGAGACTTTAAAATATTCCAGTGCCCGCAACCACATTCTTTGGGGTTAACTGGGGTCACACACTGCCAGTTTATCAGGGAAGAAATGGAGGCATAAAAAGACAACACGCCACCAAGTCGCTGAGGGTCAGAGGGCTGCCCTCACCCCAGCTCCGGGAGGAGCTGTTCAGCAGTCAGGAGGCACGCCTCCCACATCAGCACTCAGAAAAAGCCTGGCCTCCGGGGACCAGAAACAGAGCACACAACAGTGGCAATAAGGATGATGACCACAGCAAAGCTAATTACAATATATGTTAACGACGACACTGACGAGGCTGCTACCATTTCCAACCAGGTACCAAACAGAAAGGCATCTGACTTCTACCTGCCGGAAGGTGTGGAGCGTCCCGTCCTGGGCACAGCCAGCAGCCAGGAGGTGTGAATTCCTACAAGGGCACTGTTCTTCTCCTTAGGAAAATGGGCAGCTCTCACTGATTCCCCCTACGTATCAGACCAAAAACAGCCCTCCTCACCCCCGAAAAAAAGTGAGGAATCTTAGTTTGATTCTGAATTTCCCATTTAACAAGAACCCTGGCCTTGTGCATGCAGAGCCCTTGTCTTTTGCAGCCCCTCGTTCCCATCCCTGTACACCGGAGCCTTTCTCCCCCACCTTCATCTGTACTACAGATGGAAATGGACCGGAAGAGAACAGAAGCACCCACATTGCGCCCGGCCTCCCACTATAGGCCTGGGTGGCCGGAGACGGCAGCGCCCTGCTCTGGAAGGCAAATCCTTCCACCTGCCGAAATTTGACCAGGGCCACACTTTTCCAGGCCATGACGGGAACTTTAGCCAACATATCCTCTCCTTGAGATGCATCCCCTGTAAGAACTGATGCACGTAAAACATTAGGATGCAAAGAACACCTACATTTTCCACTGCCTGGAACTAGGCCGCTGAAGAATGCAGGCGAGGAGGGGGCAGCTCAAACGTCACCTTCTTTCTCCAAGAAGACTCAAACCTTCCAGCAACCTAACCACTGAACCCTAGCGGCTCTCAGCAGAAGCCCTGAGCTGGGAGTGCAGTGCTCGCTGCCTCCCACCTGCCCTTCCCGCCCATGGCGAAAGGCAGGCTGCGGAATCCTAAAGAAACGGCGAGGATGCTCCCCATCCCGTCCCACCACTGCACGCCGCCAAGAGCACCATCGCGGGGGCCGGACAGCTAGCCCCCCGCTTCTCCCGCTTTCGATGAAGAGCCAAGTCCCCATTCGACCAGCGTGACTCTGGGCAAGTCGCCGCCCATCTGCCCGTCGGGCTCCTTAGCGGTCGGACCAAGTAGCGGCGCGACCACGGAACAGGTGCCGCGACGGTGCGGGTCAGCGCTAAGGGGCGGTACCCGAGGGAAGAGCATCCCTCCCCTCCGGACAGTCTCGGGGGACGCCTGCTCCCGAGGGCCAGCGGGGGAGCGGGCAGCGACGAGCCCCTCCTCCGTGCGCGCCCCGGCCCTCGCGGCCCCTGGCCGGGCCCCGTGCCCCCTCGGAGGGGAGGTCTGGGCCCCCGGGAGAAGCCGGGGCTCGGAGCCCGGCCCAGGCTCAGGGGGACGGAGCCGGGAGCGGAGGGGGCGCCGGTCGGGGCCCCGGGGGCGGGGGGAGCGGGCCCCGACCCGGGTGAGCCACCCCTCCCAGCCTCCCATCCCCACGCCCACCCCGGACCCGGGCCGCCGCGCCCACCCGGCCGCTCACCTCTCCTCACCGCCGCAGCCGCCGCTCAGATCTCCCTCCTCTCCGCCCGCGTATCGCGAGACGTGTGGCCGCGCTCTCGCGAGACCTGGGCGGGGCCGGCCGTGGAGCTCCGGGTGGGCGCGCTGGCGGGTCGTGGGGGTCCACTTCGGCCCCCGGAGCGCCCACGCCGGAGCCCCCTGCTCAGGACCGAAGGCTAGCCCGCGGACTGTCCCGGTGCCCCGTCCCCTGCGGGACGCGGGCTTCCACTGAGGCAATTGCCTCGGCCGGTATTGTGTGGAAGAGCATCGGCCGACGGTGGCCTCGGAGGGCCAAACTTCCCTGCACTCGCGACTGGTCCCCAGTTTGCCACTGTAGTGTTGGCCTCGATTAGTGCGTTCTTCTTTCTCTGGGCCCACTGGGAACAGCACAGTACCGTGCTACTACGCCATCCTCCCCGTGCCCTGCGAGCCGCCGCCCCCCCCCCCCCCGCCCCGTTCTCAGGGCGCAGGAGCCAACAGGACCCCTTGAACTACAGCAACTTGTCCAGTAACTTGTGTATCACTGTTTCTGGGTTCTCCTCCCTCCTCCTCCCCGCACCCCAGTCCCGAGGGTCTGCGCTGAATTCCCCTCTTCCAGACACAACACAGGTTTGTGCGCCGGGGAACTCAGTGTGATGGGGACGGGGGAGAACGTGGAGGGGCTGGGACAGAGCCTTCTCTGGACTCAACTGACTACAGCCAAAAAGAACATGAACAACTTTGAAATCAGGGAGCTGGACCAAGCCCCCGGACTCATGGAGACTCCTGGGCATCTAGCATTCCTTCCCCCGCTGGTCCTTGGGGTTTAATCATCCTCTCACAGTCAAACTGCTCGAGGGATGAGCACACCTCCAGGAAATGGCTTTGAAGAAACCAGCAGATTAAAAAAAAAAAAAAAAGCATGGAAGTTTCTCAAGATAATACAATCTTTATGGTTTCACAAAGCTGCATCGAGTTCCTGGAAGAGAATAAAAGGAAATAAATGAACACACCACATCGCAGCTTGCTTTGGCAATTACCTTTATGGTCTCGGGAGCTTGGGGCATTACAGCAAGCAACGCATATTCGCGGCAAAAACCAAAGCACACCACCCCATGCATAATTCATACCAAATGTCTTCCTTAATTGCTCTGGGAACTCTGCGCTGCTTGAAGAATGGATGTGTTTCTAGATCATTCACCAGAGAGATGGAAATTAATCCCCAGGCTGAAATTTCACTTTTCTACATTGCACTGGAAAGCCAAAATAACAACTGGAAACCTGTGTGCTGTGTTCTAGGAGCCGCAGTGGAAGCCGTTTCTCTGTAACGTGCTGACAGTCTGCAAGACGAGCACTGACATACAAGTGTGTGTGCGTGCATCTCTGCCTCAGCGTGTTCGTGTCTATCTTCCTCAGTCTATCTTCTCTTCCTGTTACCTCTGCCTGTCTCTTCCTCATAACTTCCTCCTCACAAATCATGTTAGAGAGACTGTTATCATATATCATGGACACTGAATATACTTTGTCCTATCTTTTTGATTTTACAAAAACGGTCCCCACTTGTCCTGCCTGCTGCGTGGCCGGGATCAGATCCAGCTCTGTCTCCCCAGCTGCACTTCAGGAAAGAGCTCAGGCTACGTCTGCAGTCAAAAGGGACCAGAAGAGGCGGAAGAAACCCTCAGGCCTTCACAGACCCCTTCCCTCTTCGGTACTGTGTGGCCAAGAAGTACACCTCTGAAGACTCTTTCCTGCTGGCTTCAGGTTTCACAGTCTTCGTGTTCTGGAATTCCTCTGTCAGTCTCTTCTGTAACCGATGGCTTTGACTTCCAGCCCAGGTTTTACAAAGGAATGTTCCCCCAGGGCACAGGGTGTCTGGAGCCAAGTCCAGAAGGGACAAGCACAGGCTAATGAGCCTGTCGTGATCGAGGCCCCGGATCCCTGTGGCGTTGGGTGCCATGTCGCTGAGAATTACATCTGCTCTCCCTCCAGGAAGCAGTTCTCGGATTCTCTGGAAGGTTCTTGGGTCAGTCACATCAGCAGGGCACAGAAAAGTCGCTCCTTCCAGGGGGAAGATGTGAAGAAGATCTACCCCAAGCACAAAGCCAACAGGAGCGCCAGGATCTGAGGAAGAAACAGTGAATGCATTATTTATTTACACCCTGAATCTCCCCACAGAAATACACGCACAAAATAATAGAATAGAAATTAAAAGTCAGGACCAAGGAAAAGAGCTCCTGTGAAAATACGTAGACACAGGCCTTTTCCCACTTTCTATGCATTCTATAAAAACACATGGTGGGGAGTGGTGGTCCTTCACTCTGCATCTGAGGAAACTGAGGCCCAAAGAGAAAAGTGACTGTCCCAGAGTCACACGGAGCCATAGGGAGACCTGGGGCCACGCCCTGGGACGTGACTCCACGTCTGATTTCATTTCACTCCCTGAGGCTGGCTCTCCATGAAACGCTTCTTATCTGAGTGGCCTTTGTGATAAACTAAAACAGAAAATGACACAGTAGTAGATAAAGTGCCTCTGGATTAAATCAACAAGTCCGTTCTGCAACTTAATCCAATTTCTCTCAATGTAGAAACTATCAGAAACAAACCCAGAGAAGGGGAAGATGGAGAGATGACAAATAAGGTACAAAAAGTGAAGCCCTGCCCAGATTTGAGTGATACCCATTGTGACATAAAAGATGTCATTTTTTCACCTTACCTAAAACAACACATGTGCCTGCATGACTGTGGTCCCCAGCGTCCCCCTCGCCATCCTCTCATGCTGCACCCACAAAGCACCCCTCACAAGCCCTGGCGTCCCCTCTGTGTCGCTGCCCTACGCCAAGGAGGGCCTTTGCTCTGCTGACACCCACCAGGGTGGGTAAGTCCAGGGTAACGTCCCAGATTTGCTAGCTCATCTGCTTAATAAAAAGGCCGTTGCAAGGCAGGGGGAATGTGTGTTTTCTTTCTCTCTAAAGCTTGGGAGTCCAGATATTTTGCAGCAGACCCCGTTTTTCAAAGGTGAAAACCCTCAATTCTCAGCCCTGAAAAGCGGGACATCTCGCATCTCATGTCACGCACTTGACTCCCTTTAACACCCACGTACCCCCACCTCAGGAATGTCCACTCAAGGCAAATGGCTTTGGTTGCATTTTTGCCACTTCTGGGAGGAAAAGAAACCACATCATGTCACCTGCGCCCTCCTCGCTTCTGCCACTTGTTCCTAGCAGTTCAGCTTGGCCGTCTCTCCGCTTCTCTAGAAGAGCTACTGGGGAGGAGGAGCCACTGAACCAGCTGTTAGCAAGTCTGTGGAGGGGTCCAGCGGTGGGGGAGGAGCTAAAGTTTGTGACACTTCATTCACTTGCTCGATCAACATTTAATGAGCTGGAAAATAATTTCGCCTGCTCGAGAGTCCCATGAGGCATCCCACCCAGAGTAATGCGGCTGACGAATGAACCTGGGGAGCAGCATCCCCAGGGCTGTCCTTTCAGCAGCTCATTCAACGCCTCGGAACCTCAATTTTCTCATTAGGAAAATGGGCCCAAACGTCCCCACTGGAAGGTGTTTGGGGGAGATCTTTGTGAACTGTCACATGTCACAAAGCCAGTACATTCAGTACCCTCGGCAGGAAATATCAGTGCTAAGGATATTCACCACAGCGTCCTGCATGATAGCCGAAGGCCGGAAAGCACCTTGATGCCCAGATGAGGAGCCGGCCTAACCACCAACAGGGCACCCGTTATCTGGAATATTATGCAGCCAGTTAACAGGACGACACAGTTTTCTAAATTGTGTGGGTTGGTTTATCTGTTTATTAGCCAGGGGGACTTTTTTTATATAGATGAGGCCCTCGGGTTGAGCCAGAGTGGAGAATCCAGAGCCCCCACCACGTGGGCTAAGCAGCCCCAGCAGGACCTCTGAGAAATGCAGGGCTACCAGGACCAGGACCCAGAAACCTCTGGAGCTGATTCAGCTGTACTGTCATGGAAAGTGGCAATATATAAGTAAGAGAAAAAAATAGCTCCATCAAGGCTCTAAACCAGCAACAAGAGTTTGGTATAGTATCATTTTTGAAAAACAAAGTGTATATATATATATGTAGTTATGTATGCAAAAACAAATTCTAGAAGGATGCACACTGACACATTTGCATATATTAATGTGGTGTGATTTGAGGTGATTTTAATTTTCTTTATACCTTTTTACCTTTTCATTTTGAAAATGTCAGTGTCCTATCTTTACCATTATTACTACTAAACAACCAACTCAGAAGTATGTGCCTTCACCAAGTGGCCCGGTTGCCCCGTGTCCTCGGGCAGAGGGCAGCTGCCCTGCGTCTACAGACTCCCGGTGGTCAGGGGCCCTAAGAGCAGCAGGAGGCCCCACCTGTGCCTGCGGCGTTGACCCTCTGCACAGCCACCTGGCTCCACGCGCCTGGAGCCGCCCCACAGTCTAACACCCGGAGGCCAGGCCGCAGGATCTGGTGCCTCTCGTTCACCTCCAGAAGCTTGAAGGCACTTCGACACCGGTAACTCTCCACCTTCGCAGCCTTCACAAATGGGTCCTTCAAATGCCGTGTCAGCCACAGATGCTCAGCGCCGGTGCGACCCTTGTAGTGACCCCCGGCAGTGTGGAAGCCTTGACGCTGAAGGGAAGCACACAGCAGCTTCAAGGACCTGATGACAGGAAAAGGGAGCAAGCAGGTTGGCATCATATAGACCCGCGGATCAGAGCTCGTTGGGGCCCTTGGTTCACGCTGCCCGCTTTTAGAGATGGGCACGGAGACCAGAGGCGATGTAACTTGACAAAGCCGCACAGCCAGAAAGCAGGGCTTTCTGTGGGCTGAACTGTGTCCCATCCCCCTCCCCGCAAAAGTCATATGCTGAAGTCCTAACCCCCAGTACCTCAAAATGTGACTGGTCTTTAATGAGGTAATTAAATTAAAATGAGGTCATATGGGTGGGCCCTATTCCAATAGGACTAGTATCCTTCTTAAGAGCATAGGCGGACACACAGACACAGGAAAGCCCAGCAAGAAGACGGCCATCTACAAGTCAAGGAGAGAGGCCTCAGAAGACACCAGCCCCGCTGACACCTGACTTCGGACTTCTAGCCTGCAGCACCGGGAGACGATACATTCCTGCCGGGCAAGCCGCCCGGGCTGGGGCGTCTGTTATGGTCTCTGGCGCTCTGTTAGGGCAGACCCGGCAAAGTAACACAGCTGGCATCTACCCTTCAGCAAGAAGTGTTTCTTCTGTCCTCGTGTTTTCTTCAGAAGGAAAACTCAAACATCAGGGACGGTCACCTTGTTTGTGTCAACCAGAATATTCCCGGTACTGGTTAACAGTACTGAAAAAATCGGCGAGAGTTATATTCTTCCTCACCTGCTAGGAACAATCACCGGGCTCTGAGAGGCCATGCAAACCCATGAGGCAGGTCTTACAGTGACTGTGTTCCATGACTTTAGCGGCTGGCACGGGCCCTACCTGCCACGTTTCTTACTAAAATTGAACTCAACCTGTGCGAACACTTCAAAGGCAATTTCCATTTCTCTTTGGCAAAGTTAGGTTTTGAACAGTTTATCAACTGCCGGGAGCTATCCATACCTCCCCCATTTAACTCTCAGAACAACCCTACAAAGTAAGTCCTATATGTATTTTTCTGATGGAAAAAAGGCTGTCATTATCCTCACGGCTCCAGGTCAAAGCCCCTTCAACACCAAAGCACGTGACAAGGTCTGGAGACTGACAACTCCGGAATCACTGCCTTCAAAAGACAGAAGGGGTCTGCAAGGAATAGGGCACAGGGTGGTCCTGGGCCCCAGAACTTATTCCAATGGCCCAGGACGAGTGGAGAGTGGAGGGACACACCCACCCCGGCCTGATCTGGGCAGGGCAGCCGACCTCCAGCCCCACCCCACCTCCTGGATGCAGTTTCAAGTTTCACTTCCACCTGCAGGGACCCTCTCACCTGCCCCTCCCCCTCTCCCCCCGCGGGACCCCTCCCCTGCCCTTCTCCTCCAGCCGTCTACAGCTCTCTGCCCGCCCGCCGCTCCCCGGGAGCCTTCGCCCACTGTGGCTTGGCGTTTGCAGTCCTCCTCGAGTCACCTGGCCGGGCTGACCGTGTCGGGCCGGGACGGAGGCGGGACCCGCGCCCCTGCGGACGGGGAAGAGTGGGGCGGGCCGCTGGCCACTCCCGCCTCCCGCACGCGGGCAGCAGGCGGCCCCGGAACGCCGCACGGGCGCCCCGTCCCCCGGCCCCGCTCACCCAGCCATCAGCGCCGACCTCTCCCGCCGCCGGAAGTGCCCGCCTCGCTTCCGGCCCAAGGCCACGCCCCCGGAAGCGGCGCGCCGGTTCGGACGGCGCGCGCGGAACGGAGCCGGTGGCCGGTCAGGTGAGCCCTGGAGCCGAGGAGCAGGGGGCGGGCCGGGTGAGGGGGCAGCGAGGGAGCGGGGCCAAGAGAGCGGGGGGCCGGGAAGCGGGCTGGGGCTGCGGGGCAGGTGAGCAGAGGCCGCAGGGGACGGACCAAGGACTGGGGTGGGGGCCTGGGGCGCCGGGCCCCTGGGAGGGGCGGCCAGGGAACCTGCGTTTACAAGTCTGCTTGTCAGCAGCAATATCTAAGGATATTGTCCCTTTCAACCCTGGTGACGGCCTCAGTTTACATACCACTGGACTCAGAGGCCACGTGGCTAACAAGTGGGGCTGCCCAGCCCCATTGCCAGCCTCCCAGCCCCTGACGTTAGATGGCCTCTCTGAGGACCCGTCTAACTGTAGTGCCGAGCCGTCTGCTCTGGCTGCTTGTCTTAGTCTTAAGCAAGTCTTAGTAGATAGAGTTGTTGGGTCTGTTATATGGGATAATTTTTTAGAAAGAAGTTCATGGTCAGTGCTTAGTAAGTGATAGCTGACAACCCAGGATCCATCTTCATCACCATCACCGTTGACTTAGGAAGCCAGGGCTTTGGGTGTGAGCAGGTCATCGTCAGGACAGAGTGTGCAGGCCGAAAGAAAGCCTCAGCATCAGAAACTCACTCCCCCCACCACCAGGATTCAGCTGTCGGTGCCTGTTCTCAGATACCATAGCTTCCCAGGAGGATCCTGGTCCTGAATCCTGTGTCATTCTGATGCGGTCCCCAGAGCAGGAGACTTATGTGCAGTGGGCCCCAGGCCAGGATAGGGATAGAGCCCCAGAGACCTTGGTCCTGGTTCTCCAGCAGCAACCCAGATGTCACCCTCAGGGTCTTTCTCTGGACCATGCACACCCATTCGAGCAAGAGGGGCCCTTGTGGATCCAGTGCCCTCTCTGAGTGCCAGGTCCCAGAGCAGCAATGGTTGTGAGCAGAGCATGAACTCCTGGCACAGGATGGAGGACCAGCCAGGCCTGGCTGGGTGGACTCTCCACTGTCGGGAGCATTTCTTGGGAATCTGGAGATCTCCTACTGCAGAGAGGAAGAAGCCAGATCCCAGGAGGCCAGAAGAAGGCCCCATTAACGACAAGGCCAGGCCAAAAGCCTGGCTCCACAACCGCTGGATAAACTGCATGGTTATCCTGGTGCCAGCTGGGCACAGAGGCTGGACTGCCCTCCCACTGCTGCAGAACAGCCCTGTGCCAAGGAGTGGGGAAAGGGAGCTGTGGCCGTCGCCTGACCTCCTGCATCAGCCCTGAGGACTGAAGGGCCTGGGCACTGATCCCACTGGGTTCCGAGGGCCAGGCCTCTTTTTTTACCCCAGAAGATCATTTGTTCAGTGGCAGGCTTCCACCTGCATCAGGCAAGCCACACATGGCAGAGCCGGGAAATGACCACCAAGCTTCCCCTCCCTGCCTTCCGATGCATGTTTCCACTCCCGCTGGCCCCCGGCCACGGCAGTACACATGCTGCCATCCACGCCCGTCAAGCTGACCCAGCCCTCTTGCCTTCCTCACAGAACCCAAGGGGACTATGGGTGTCTCCAGGCTCTACACCCTGGTCCTGGTGCTGGAGCCTCAGCGAGTTCTCCTGGGCATGAAGAAAAGAGGCTTCGGGGTCGGCCGGTGGAATGGCTTCGGCGGCAAAGTTCAAGAAGGAGAGACCATCGAGGACGGAGCCAAAAGGTGAGGGAGGGGTAGGCCTGACCCCAGAACCAGCTTCTGCAGGCGGTAAGGATTCCAGCCGTAGAGCCAGACTCCTGATGTCACCACTTAGAGCCATGTGACCTGAGGCATGTACTTAGCCCTTGAGCCTCAGTTTCTTCATCTGCAAAATGGGAATAATAGCAGGAGCTGCTGCTTAGGATTGTTGTGGAGATTAAATGAGAAAATGAATATAAAGGACTAGGAACAGTGCCTGGCACGTGCTAAGTGCTGAGTACACGTGAGCTGTTGCACTGCGGGGTGAGGACGGATCTGGGAGGCTGCTGTGCACGTGGCTTCCTCTTTCTAGCTCAGAGCCCGGTCGGTCACTTGGTCTCTTCGTTTGTTCAGGGGAGCTGATGGTGAGCGTTTCTATCAGAAACCTTTTGCACACACAGTCTCAGTTAATCCTCAACACAACCAGCGTCACATGGGAAGCTACCGAAACCCAGAGAGGTTGAGCAGTGTGCCCAAGATCACACAGCCCTCCAGACTTCAACCTTCTTTGCCCCTCTTCACAGGCTTGTGTGGATAAAATGAGAGTGTGTATGTAAACATCACAAAGCTACACAAACCTCAGCTCCTGTTGATCTTGTTCTTACTCTGAAAAAGGTTGGCAACCTGAAGGCCACCTTCCCCCGAGAGGGGAACAAACCCCCAAATGCCTACTACCGAGGTTTCTGGAAAGGACGGAAGCTGCCGATGCTGCAGCCCAGTGGCTTTCAACTTATGGGGTTTTTTAAATTTAAATCACAACCCACAGTAAGAAATGTTTATACTTTGATATAGCAGTGCCCTTACTACATGAAAGCATGCTCCAATGTAATTTATTTTAAAGATTGGCACCTGGGCTAACAACTGTTGCCAATCTTTTTTTTTTTTTTTCTGCTTTATCTCCCGAAACCCCCCCCCCCCCACCCCCGGCACACGGTTGTATATCTTAGTTGCAGGTCCTTCTAGTTGTGGGATGTGGGATGCCGCTTCAACGTGGCCTGACGAGCAGTGCCATGTCTGCGCCCAGGATCCGAACCCTGGGCCGCCACAGCGGAGCCGGCCCCTACAATTTTTTTAATTGCTCATCATGGTCCACTAAGTCGACCTCAGGGTGCAAGACTGGCTTACAGCCCCCCATTTAAAAAGCCCTGCAGGTGGTATTCCTGTGTGCACCTGCCCTCCTAGGCCTGGGACCCGGGGCTGCTGCCACACGGAGGCGTCTGCTCGTTCATTTTGGCAGGTGCACTGAGAGGACACGGCTGGGCGGAGACCTAGTCTGACGAGACTCAGCGCTGGGGTGGGAGGGGTGCAGAAGAAACAGCAGGGAAAACGGACAGAAACAAGGGGGCGCCAGAGGTCTGCTCTGCCACTGTCTGAAGGTCTGTGTCCTCCCAAGACCGTTCATCCGGTCACTGATTCAGCAGCGCCCACCGCCTAAGCACTGCTCAGTGTCGGGACACAGAGACGCGAGTCCCAGCCCCCGCCGGGCCCCCATCTGCTCTGGCTGCGGGGCTTGGGGGGCTGTGTGTAGAGAGCGGGTCTAGTGGACAGCCCGTGGTCTGGGCATCAGCATAGAGACGGAGGGCAGACAACTGGGCACGAGGGAGAACTCCCGAAGGACCTGAGTTTGGTCGGAGGGCCAGGTGGAAGGTGGGATCCCGGTACTCAGAGGAGTGCAGAGGGGTGTGGTGTGGCCAGAGGGCAGCCAGGGGAGGCAGGGTGGGCTGAGGGCGAGGCACGAGGAGCCCCCAGTGGCTTCACGTCAGCTGTGCTGCTGACAAGCAGACTTGAGACCCCCGAGGCAGCCCTGATGCGTTTCCTTATGAACTGTCTCACGATATAAGGAGCTTTCCTTCCCGCCCTCTCAATATGATTCATTTCTTCAACGCGACACAGACTAAGAAACCGTGACTCCGACCCTCGGTACTGAGTAGGACAGTGGCCTTCCCTCAGACGGGGTCTGAGCTGGGGGAGGAACCTGCAGGACAGAGCAGGAGGCAGGTCATGTCTATCCCGAGGCTCCCTGCACTGCTGCGTCCAGACTACCCCTCTCACCTGCACAGGTGGGAGCGTCCTGCCTGGTCTTCTGCCCCTCCCTTCCCTCCCGGGTCCATTCTCCACCTGACCGCCTGCGGGCTGACCTTCCTGAAACCACGTCTGGGTCTCTCTGTCTCTCTCACTCTCTCACACTTTAAACCCTTTCCTAGCTCCCATCGCACTTAGTCCAATGTCCTGTGTCATCCACTGAGCCCCCCACGGTCTGGCCTCTCCCCTCCTTCCCATCCCCGCCCCTCTCCCCACACTCTTTCTGCCCCTCGGACACCCCACTTTTCCTGGCTCCTCGCCTGGCTGACCCTGTAAGAAGGTGGCCCCCACCCAGCTATTCCCGATAAATCTCATCCTGCGTTGCTGTGTATCCATTTCCTCCACAGCACTCTGACCCTTTCTAATCGTATTTAATTATTCCCTTTCCATCTGTTTTGCCCCAGAAGCGCTCTGTGAGACCGGGACTGAAGACATTTTATACGTCAAGTTGGTGTTGAAATAGCGCATGCGTATAGGAACGTGCACAAATCTTCATCAGGGAATTTTTAGGACACAGGTCCATCTGTATGACCAGCCCGTGGGTCAAGAGATGGAAATGGGGTGGGGACCTGCCCTCCAAAGGTCACCCTACACCCTGATTTCTGTCCCAGTTGATCATTGGGGCCTGTTCAAAATAGCACATAAGTGGAATCCTGTGGGATGACCCTTTGCGTCTGGCTTTTTCCCAGCATTACGCCTCCAGGAAGCAGCAGTCCATTAGTCCTCACTGCTGTCTAGTATTCCGGTTGTGAATACGCTGCAGCCTGTCCTTTCCATGGATGGCATTTGGGTCGTTTCTGGTTTGGAGCTGCGAGCGGTTCTGCTGACAGCCCTGTACGGTCTTTGGAGCCCGTGTGAACTCCTTGCTGCTGGGTATTTCCCTGGGAGGAGAATTAGAGGTGCTCGGCGTTAGTAGATGCTGCCCAACAGTTTTCCGAAGTAGCTGTGCCAAGCTGAGCTCCCACCAGAGGTGTGGGTCCTGCTTCCTCCAAATCCTCGGAAACCCTTGGTATTTTCTGCCTTTGTCATTAGCCACTCTGGTCAGTGTGATGACACCTCAGTGAGGGTTTCATCCATTCGCCCTGCTGACTGCTGAAGTTGCACACCTGCTCAGCGTCTCTGGCCACTCGGATATCCTTTTTTGTGACGTGTCTGCTCAAGTCTTTTGCACAGTTTTGTAATCCGGTTGCCTGTCTTTTTCGTATCCATTTGTAGTTCCCTGTACCTTTCACTCTGTCCTCTCTGATTTTCTGCCTGGTGCATCTGTCCAGTTCCGGGTGTCAAGGTCTCTGACAATGACAGTGGGTTCGTCTGTCTCTCCTTGCAGTTCTGGTCGTTTCTGCCTCACAGGGTTTGGTGCTCTGTTGTCAGGCACATACAGGTTAAGGATTGTTGTGTCTTCTTGGAGAACTGACCCCTTTATCATGATGTGACGCTCTCTTAATCCTTGGTAACTTTTGTTGTTTTGTAGTCACTTCTGTCTGAAATTAACATAGCTGCTCCTGCTTTCTTTTGATTAGTGTCAGCATAGTGTATCTTCCTCCATCCATTTATTATTAATCCTCAGGTGTCTATTTAAAGTGGGTTTCTTGTAGAAAACATAAAGTCGGGTCTGTTTTGTTTTATTTTTTTGCTGAAGAAGATGTGCCCTGAGCCAACATCTGCTGCCAATCTTGCTCTTTTTGTGTGTGAGCCACCACCACAGCATGGCCGCTGACAGACGAGTGGTGTAGGTCCATGCCCTGGAACCGAACCCAGACTGCCAAAGGAGAGCATGCTGAACTTCACCGCCAGACCACCAGGGCTGGCCCTGTTTTTTCATCCTCTCTGATGAGCTCTGTGTTTTAATTGGTGCATTTAGATCCTTGATGTTCAGAGGGATTAATGACATAGCTGGTTAGTATCCACCATATCCATTACTGTTTCCCATTTATTGCCCTTCTTCTGTGTTCCTATTTTTGTCTTCCACAATTTTTCTGCCTTCTATGGTTTTAATTGAGCTCTTTTTTTTTCCTCTCTTTTTTGCTGAGGAAGATTTGCCCTGAGCTAACATCCATTGCCAATCTTCCTCTTTTTGCTTGAGGAAGATTGTCCCTGAGCTAACATCTGTGCCAATCTTCCTGTATTTTGTATGTGGGATGCCACACAGAATGACCACCGACAAGTGGTATAGGTCCACACCTGGGCACTGAACCCAGACCACCGAAGTGGAGCGGCGGAACTTAACCACTAGGCCACAGGGCCGGCCCTTTGATTGAGCATTTTATGTGATGCCATTTTCTCTCTTTCTTAACATATAAGTTTTCCTTTTTCACTTTTTTTAGTGGTTGCCCTAGAGTTTGCAATATCCATTTACAGCTGATCCAAATCCGGTTTCAAATAACACTTCACGGTAGTGTGAGTACCTCATAATAACAAAATCGTCCTGATTCTCCCTCTCGCCACTTGTGTCATTGCTGTCACTCATCTCACTTACCCTCAGTGCCCACGAGCATTTATATGTGAGGCACAGACATAAGCGCCCATAATTGAACACATCGTTGCTATGAGTATTTTGAATAAACTGTTGTCTGTTGGATCAATTAAGAATAAGAAAAAAGCTTTATGTCATCTTCACTTGTTCCATCTCGGATGCCCTTCCTTTCTTTATGCAGATCCAAGTTTCTGACCTATATGTTTTCCTTCTCTCTAAAGAATGTCTTTGAAAGTTTCTTGCAAGGCAGGTCTACTGGCAGCAAATTCCCTTGACTTCTGTTTGTCTGAGAAAGTCTTTATTTCTCCTTCCCTCTTGCAGGATAATTTCACAGCGTACAGAATTCTAGTTGGTAGTTTTTCTCTCTCGACACTTGCCATATTTCACTCTACCCTCTTCTTGCTCGCGTGGTTTCCGAGGAGAAGCTGGA